GTTAATTTAAATGATTATGCCTTTTAAAACAGGTTCACCTCAATAGCAGTGTAGTATGCTGTGTTCTAGTAATTTTTTATGCATATAAGCAGTTTGCAAGTGCAAAAATGTCCATTCTGTCTACTGCAGAGAACGTGTGGGTCATTCCACCCCCTCCGCCCCGTCTGAGTCAAACCCTACAGCGTCTGCACAACCCCAGCTCCACATCTGCATCTCCGGCTCATCTCTGGAGCTCAGCAAGCCGCCCGCAGTCCCCGCCGCAGAGCTCGTGCCCTTCGATAGCGATGACACCGATGATGAAGACTCTCCCAGCCCTTCATCCACACTGCAGAGCCAAGCCTCCCATTCCACCATCTCATCCAGCTTCGGCAGTGAGTCTCTAAAATCATATATACTCGCTCATGTTTGTGATTGGTGTCTTATTGATGATGTTTTGTATTTATTTGTTTCTCTCAGATGATGAAGCAGCCATTTCAAAGGACGTGGCCACCGAGACCACCAGCTCCGAGGAGGAACAGGAGTTTCCCGTCCCGAGCACATTCGGGGCCCCTCGGCTCAGTGCGGACAGTCCCGTGGACGGCCGAGCCATGCGGCGGTCCAGTCGAGGCTCCTTCACCCGGGCCAGTCTGGAGGACCTGCTGAGCATCGACCCCGAGGCGTATCAGAGCTCCGTCTGGCTCGGGACCGAGGACGGCTGGTGGGTCTCTGCATGACAGAATAAATAACTTCTGTAATGGTAGGGCGGTACTTATTATTATTAGGGACGGTATTATTTGGTTTTTGTATTACTTATAGCTTTTATTTGTATATTTTTTAGTTTTCATAATTTTTTTAACTTTAATTTGTTTTTATTTTAGTTTTAGATTTAGTAAATGTAGAACTTAAACTTACTTCAGTTTCTAATTTTTTTAAGATCTAGTTTAGGTTTTAAGAGAATAAACATATTTACATAACATTTAACTTCTGCAATGCTATGTACGGAACTGTTTGATTTGGTCTAACAGGATGTGATTGTATCTTTAAAAGTAGGCTGTGATATTATTAGTTATTGTTATCTTCACTGCCCAACTGGCCATGATTATATCAGCATAAACCAAAAAAAAAATAAAAATTATCATTTGAAACAAAGTCTTTTTTTTCGCGTCATGTCGCGAATCCATTTCTCTTTCAGGTCAGAAGCAGCATGAATGCTTGGAGTATGTGAAAAATAGAACGGGACATTAGTTTACTGTCGGGGATTTGTTGTCAGTCCGTGCCGTAGACAGAATCGCCGATTATAATGGGCTCTGTTTTCTAGTCACGTTGCGCCGCTCGCGTCCTGTGTAAACATGGGGTAATATTAGGAAAGAGCTCAAGATCGCATCAGTGAAACACTGTTTGTTTGCTTTACTTTGCTACAGATTCATTTTTAAACAAGACATTATGATGCAGGTTTTAGTAAACGATGATGCAGTACTGAGTCTGACTATAGAGAGTAATGTCGCAACACATAAGTGTGAGTAAACATGTTTTTAGTCAAGTCACCTTTATTTATATAGTGCTTTATACAATACAGATTGTGTCAAAGCAGCTTTTCAGTGTCAAACAGAAAAATAGTTTCAATAATGCAAGAGGACAATAAAAAAAGTCATTTTTCCAGTTAAAGTCAATTCATTGGTGATTCAGTGAAGTCATTATCCAGTTCAGCTCTCTCTAATACTGTCTGTTGATATATTTTACCACTATTTCATTGTCTGTTCCAGACCATTTGATATATACAGAGTATTTATACGTTTTAAACCCAAATGACCCGTGCAGAGTACGTCACGGCAGTGTCCATCTGTTATTTTAATAAGCAAAACTGTTAGCCAATCATAGCAGTAGGCGTTTACTTGTGAGTCTTGAATGCACCCGCCTATAAAAACAGACCGTTCTGCAGAGAGGCTCAAAAACAGGATAGAAAGTAGCCTATTACTTAAAAAATGTAGTTCATGAACCCTTTAATATAACAACATATAAAAACTATTAAAAAGCTTATATGGGGCTAAGTAATGTATACAAAGAAAATACATTATATATTAGATATTTGTCAAAACATTTAAAAAATACTGAAAATCATTCAAAAATGAACATTTAATTTTCATGAAAGTTCTGACTATTTGAATGTAAAATTAATGATCTATTAAATAATGACAATGTTTGTTAATGTAATTATTGGTAGTTATTATAAGTGTTCAAACTTGTGTTTAGGCAGCATTCAAAGCCCATGGGCCGAATTAAAAGTCGAACGATAGTAGCACACAATGACGTAATGGCATTTAACTGCACAAAACACCCACCTGCTGTTCCTTCTGTTTGGGGTTTAATTCTCACCTCAGGTGACCCTGATCTGACTACAGTACACCCGTTTACTGCGTTCCCACAGAGACACTCGTTATCTCGAGCTCAGACCTGCCCGTGTCCTCAGTGCATCCTGTCACTTTCCACACAAACATTTACTCTCTCTCTCTCTCTCTCTCTCTCTGTCTGTCTCTCTCTCTCTTTGCGTCACACAAGCAGGTGTGGAGCATTTGTTCTTGCCTCACTGCCAGTTGAAAGTCAAAACAAACAAAAAACAGTCCGATGACTTAGAGAGCATTTGACTTGATGCCTGTATATATAACGTATTTTAATTCCTAATAATATCAGCATATTAGAAGGATTTCTGAAGGATCTTGTGACTCTGAAGACTGGAGTAATGATGCTGAAAATTCCGCTTTTCGTCACAGGAATAAATTACATTTTACAATATATTTGAAAACACGGAAAACGTTTGTTTTAATTGATTTTACTTTATTTTCAATCAAATACTTGCCACCTTGGTGAGCATAAGAGACTTTCAAAAATATAAAAAATTGACCCCAAACTTTTCAACATAAGTTTGTTGATTACCAGTAAACGCCTAAGGACATAAATGTCATATTTCATAAGTATAATCATGTTGTTTTCTTTCAGTATTCATGTGTACCAGTCATCAGACAACATCAGAAACAGGAAGAACAGTATGAAGATGCAGCACTCTGCTTCTATCCTGTGTATCCTGTAAGCAGCTTCTGCCTCATTGATCTGTTGCCATGGTAATTTACGCAACGTCGGCATGGAGACTGAACATCTTTTTTTCATTCCCAGGTATCTTGACAACAAAGTGTTTGTGTCCCTGGCAAACGGGGAGGTGATTGTTTATCAGAGGGAGGCAGGTGAGCTCAGATCCATTCCAAATGATTCAGTTATAACCGATAAGAGTGATTTACACCGACTCTCTCTGCTTTTTCTACATAACAGGAAGTTTCTGGGATCCTCAGAGCTCTCAAACGCTGTGTCTGGGCTCTCCAACTGGACCCGTAACCAAAATGGTTCCTGTGGCGGGAAAACTGTGGTGTGGCTGTCAGAACCGAGTCCTCATCATCAACACCAGCACTTTAGCACAAGAGGTCAGACGCAAACCACAGGCAGATGAAGTCTGGGAAAAGATATTTTGGTTTAAGTCTTGTGCTGAAAATCCTTCAACTGATGTGGTCAAAAATGACCAGCCCTTTAAAAATTGCTTGTAAATCTCGCCTTATGCTATATTATTAACTAATCTTGGATTCGATCTTTTCTTTCAGTTAGCACAGGTTTTGTGTTTGTTTTTGGAAATGAATGATCAAAGGCCTCATTGATCTGAGCGTTTGCACCTCAGTTTTTGAGTGCATAAGCATCATTTGTGGATAATTTTGATATTCACTCATAAACTGAGGTGCATGCACTCAGATCAGTGAGGCCTATGAACAATCAGTTTCAAAAAGAAATACAAAACCTGTGCTAATTGAAAGAAAACAAGTTGACAAAAAAATTGAATCCAGTATTTGGTGATAATATAGCATAAGAGAAATTTACAAACAATTTTTGTACATCATTTTTGACTAGAAACATCACAAATGTAACAAGGTGGGTGGAAAAAATCACAAAAATTATCTTTTTTTTGGGGGGGGGGCATTGTTATACCCTGAGAGCAAAGTCAGTAAGTTTTATTTCAATACAATAACGTTTTTTCAGAAAAGAGAAAATCCGCTCTGGGTCACAAGGTTTAGAAGACATTTAATATTCAGTAATATTATAGATATACCTGCACTGACATCATCAGGTGAGAATAAAATTTGAACTGAATATTGACACTAATATCCACACAGCTATTGAAAGTAATTAAATCAACATTCAATCTGAATTGAGCTGAATAATGTCACTGTTGTGTTTTATAGAGCTGCTTTACAGCTGAAATTAAATTTGTTTTATAAATGAATGGCTTTGCAACATTGACAGTTATTCGAGCAAAACAATGACACTTGTCTTCTGTAGAGCTGCTTTACATCTTAAATTGAATTACTTTCATAACTGATTAATTTTGCAACATTGAAACTGTTATTTTCCTGACTGTTTCTTTGAAGCTGCTTTGGAACAGTGTGTATTGTATAAAACGCTATAGAAATAAATTTGACTTGACTATTAAAAGTTTAAAATATGACAATTATAACCAAACGATATCCACTTGACATCAGATTTCTGAACAGCACTTGAATCATTTGAACAATTTTAACATTGTGTTTGAATGTGTTCTTCAGCACTCATTCCAGGTGGGTCAGGACAGCGGGCGCTGCGTGACCAGTATCGTGAGCTATGGTAAAGGCGTGTGGATCGCTCTACAGGGCAGCGCTCAGGTGCGGCTCTATCACGCCGCCACCTACGAGAGCCTGACCGAGGTCGACGTGGCACCAGCCGTGCACAAGATGCTTGCAGGTAATAACAGCATCATGAAATTAGGTCAAATTATGCCTCTTCTTTCTTTCTTTTTTTCAATATGCAGGGCTGAGTTCAAAAATATCAATAAAAACTTTCCATTGCATAGTTTTTTGTTTTGTTTTGTTTTGTTTTTTCACAAAAAAAGAATAAAGGTTTTTCAAATTGTATTGTATTTAATGTCAAAGAACTTTACAAAATAAGCTTTTTTCACAAAATCTGTCATTTTGTGTGGCTGTTTAGATGCAGTAAAACACCCACAGATATTGCAGAAAACATCTGGCTCATGTTTGCATTGTCTTCTGTCACTGGCCATAATTCTGACCTTGAAATCAGCGTTATGCATAAAATAATGTGTTTAGATTCATTAATACATGTGAGAATGGGCTGAGCATTAAACAAATCGTAATCTGGCTCAGATTCAGACAGGAATCATGTGTTTGTGGCAGTTTTTCTGCTGATTAAGGGATAATACAAGACTTCTTCACCATACAAGTGGTTGTCGAAAGCAAACATCCCATGAAATGCTTCATATTTTGTGAGAAAGTGTGACATGCTAGAGCAAAATAGGCACTATTTTTGGAATCGGCACCCTAAAATTACTAAGAAACAAGTACTAAATTCAAATTGCATTCCGCAAATATTATATGTAAATATATAATTCAGACAGGAATCATGTGTTTGTGGCAGTTTTTCTACTTATTAAGTAATAATATAAGACTTCACTGCACAAATGGTTGTCGAAAACAAAAATGCTACAAAATTGTTTGAGAAAATCTGACGTGCTTGAGCAAAACCGATGCTATTTTTGGAATCAGCACCTCAAAATTATTAAGAAACAAGTATTGGATTTTATTCAACAAATATGATGCAAAGCGGCATTATGGTTTTTATCTGCTGGATGATAAAAACAAGTCAAAAAAGCACAAAAACAGATCAATAGGGCTTCAAATGTGGATTGTTAGAGCTAATTTTATAATTGTGAGTTATAACAATGGGTTATTACCATTAATTTTAAAACAAATTGTGTGAGTTATAAAAAAAAAAAAAAATGAAACAAATTAATAAAAAATGAATAAAATAAAACTTTTAGCCATTGAAAAAACTATATATTTAAAAAAATATATAATAAAAAGGACAAAAAACACAACAAAATTACTAAAACTTTAAAATAAAACTAACTAAAAATATCAATAAATACTATAATAGTATACAAATAATACTAACACTGTGTGTCTGTGTGTGTGGGTGTGTGTGTGCGCGTAGGTCTTAGCAGGTTACACTTTTCAGTAAAAATGCTTGTTATTTGAGCTATAATAGTATATCAGCTATACTAAAATAACACTGCTTTTTAATGAAGAACTGTTTCAGAATCTAATCAAATCCCTGTCTCATTTTTTTTTTCTTTTAGGCTCTGATGCCATTATCCGGCAGCACAAAGCAGCATGTTTGCGGATCACAGCTCTTCTGGCATGTAAGGACCTGCTGTGGATCGGCACCAGTGCAGGGGTGGTCCTGACTCTGGCCATCCCGCCCGTGTCCTCCAGCACTGGGCCGGGCTCTCTGCGGGCTCCCCACCTCCCCATGGGCTCCGCCCACGGACACACCGGACACGTCCGCTTCCTCACGTGCATTGAGCTGCCAGAGGGCTTTGACGTCAACTTCCCACCGCCGTCCGAATCCGGTAAGTTTCTCACTGCCTCTTGCAGTGTGGGTAATATTAACAGAGGATCTGGCAACAAAATGGTGAAGTGCATTATGGAAATACAGAAACCTGCAGACATTGATCTGTTCTATGTGTTTTTTTTTATTAGGAGTATTAGGAGTTCAGTGCGACTTAAACTGTTCTCTTCAGTGTCAATAATGTGTTGTAATTTTATTTGTAATTTGTTCATACAATTTAAATTTTTTATGTAGCAGTATATTTTAAAAACTGACCATATTACACTACACTATACTGTATATAATAATATTAAAATAATAAAAAAAATTCTATATTCTATATATAAACATTCTATAAATGTTATGGGATTCATAAAAACACAAACACATGGTTAATGATAATAGTAATTCAATAAATAATTTAAGATTTTTTTATTTTTTTTTTTACAAATATTATGATATTCATAAATAATGTGATTATGGCCCTGCAATTCAATATCACATTTTTAATTGAATTTAAATTCAGCTTAAAAAACACGTACTTTTTTGTTTGTTTTTTTAGCTAATACTTTTTTTTTACTTTGTTTTTTAATGTGAGCTGAAATGTACCTTGTTATTCTTTCTTTTGTTTAACTCATGTTTTTATAGTAATTGTTTGGCAAGGAATTTATTTTTGTATAAAAGGAAGATTAATAAAAAAAAAAAAAACAAGTCTAGCTAATACTCACATTATTATTATTTTTTATTTATTTGGGAAGTCGTGGCCTAATGGTTAGAGAGTCGGACTCGTAACCCAAAGGTTGTGGGTTCGAGTCTCGTACCGGCAGGGCTTGTAGGTGGGGGGAGTGAATGTACAGCACTCTCTTCCGCCTTCAATACCACGACTGAGGTGCCCTTGAGCAAGGCACCGAACCCCCAACTGCTCCCCGGGCGCCGCAGCAAAAAAATGGCTGTGTGTTCACGGTGTGTGTGTGTTCACTGCTGTGTGTGTGCACTTTGGATGGGATAAATGCAGAGCACTAATTCTGAGTATGGGTCACCATACTTGGCCACATGTCATGTCACTTCACTTTATTATTATAAAACTTTGTGTGTTGTGGTATTAAAAAAAACACACCCAATTATGGCCCTGCAAAAGAGTATCAAATATTTAATTTGATTTGATTTAATTTAATTTAGCCATCTCAAATAGTCAGTGCCAAGACAAGTGTAAACTGGTTCAGAACATTTTGCCATCACGTCACACAAACCGTTTACAAAGGTCAGGGACATATGCGATCATTTCATTTGCAGTGTAAACATTAATGCATCCTGATGCATCCCAAACAACAGAAAAAAACGCCTACTCACCTTTCAATCAACCACTTGTGTGTTTTAAAAACGAGTGTTTTAAACTTGCCTGGTTAGGCCTGATTAATGCTTGTGATTGGATGCTTCCAAGAAGAATGTCTATAAGTAGAGGCTATCAATAAAATATGGCACAGTGACATCAGATAACAAATATGTGTGTGTGTCCTGAATTTCTATTATAGTGAACTCTGCACAGAACAGCTCTGAGAGCAGCAGCGGAGGCCTGCAGAGACGAGACTCCTCCCGACGGCGCGCCTCCACCCTCCTGCCCACCAAATCCAACCTGCTGGTCATCAGCGGCGGAGACGGCTATGAAGACTTCCGACTGACCAATAGCAGCGAGACAGTGGGGCGGGACGACAGCACCAACCACTTACTGCTGTGGTGCGTGTAGCAGAAGCCCCGCCCCCTCAACACACTTCCCCCCTGAAACCCCGCCCCTTCCTGTTCTCTGATGCGTTGTGCACAAGCATGTAAGACGTCAACCAATGGGGTGTTTGTTTTTCGTTCCATTGTTTCTCGGTGTAAAATATCTCGATCTCGCTTGCCATGTGGTGTTTCCTGTGGCTGCTTTTGAATATTGTGTTGAAACTTAAAAAAACAGAGCGGACGAAATTATCATTACCTTGAAGAAGAAAAGAGAAAAACCAGGAAAAGGTGAAGTAAAAAAGAAAGGAAGCAAGAATTGTTGGATAGAGAGTGGGTTTGAATGCATCACACGAGGCAGGGAGGATTGTGGGTAATGTGGATGGACGTACAAAGTGGAAAGACAAGTTTTTCATCCTTCACTTCATCAGTCCACACACTACTGGTCTTGACAGACTGTGATGTTTTTGTTAAAGCTCTCGTTTGTGTTGTTCGGGGCGAGATGAGAGTTAATCTTATGTAACCAATGTGCAATATAAGGCTAGAGTACCCGCGAACCGCTATATGACACTCACACTTTACTACTTCAGTAATCAACAAACTCACAGTCAGAGTTATTACACATTATAACATTATTCTTTTGGTTATCGAATCATCTTTATGTATAAAAAAAATAAGACTTCACTATGTTATGTGAAAGAACAGCAATGACATTCCATATATAGGTATTGTGACAAAAAACCTTTTGTACAGTATTTATGTTTTTTCATTTTTAGTTAAGTCTTTTTTTTTATAGCACTTAATTTATAAATAAAGTAATCTGGCGTTTTTCTCTACTGAAAGATTTTGACGCTCAACTCAAGTTGGGTCAGTGAGGTTGCATTTGTACCATTTTTGAAAAATGATTCCGGTGAATCTCACAAAGAAACATCCTGGTCATATTTCACCCCAAAATAAAAAGAAGTTTTATTTGCATAAAGAAAATAAAGCATATTTTTTAGGACCATTTAAGTTTTTTTTTGTTTGTTTTTTTTACATCATGTCATTATTTTCATTGTAATTTCCCTTTAATTTCTTAAAATTGTGATACAATCTCTTTCACATTACTGTAATACATTTTTATTCTTCCAATTTTTTGATTTTTGATTCAATTTAATCCAACAAATACTATGGTATGGAAGCTTGTTTCCACCATTTTCTCAGAATTGTACGATTTTTTTTCAACTTGCGATTGTTTTTTTTTACATCATGTCATTATTTTCATTGTAATTTCCCTTTAATTTCTTAAAATTGTGATACAATCTCATTCACATTACTGTAATACATTTTTATTCTTCCAATTTTTTGATTTTTGATTCAATTTAATCCAACAAATACTATGGTATGGAAGCTTGTTTCCACCATTTTCTCAGAATTGTACGATTTTTTTTCAACTTGCGATTGCAAGCTGAAGTCCAGATCTGAGGAAAACAACTCAGCTCATCATTTTCTTACAATTGCGAGTTTCTCACAATTCTGACTTTATAACTCCATAATATAAGTTTTTCATGCAATTCTGAGAAAAAATCCAGAGTTGCAAGATGTAAACTCGGAAGTCAGAATTGTGAGATAAAAAGTTTTTTTTTTTTTTTATCTCTTGGTGGAAACGGGCTTCCATACTATGGTTTGTACTTTACAAATGTGCTGTAATTTTTTCACATTACAGTTCTATTTTTTTGCATTACGGTAATTGGAATTTGGGGGAAATGTAATTAATTGACATTAAAATAATGTAAAACTAATTTTTTTAAAAATCAAATAATAAAGTAAAAAAAGATATAATTTATTTTATGTCAATTTCTTTTAATTTCGGGATGAAATATAACTAGACAGGATTGGTGAGATTCACCAATGACCAGCTGTGTAATTTCAGTGGTTGTTTTCATCACCATGTTAATTCAGGAAAGGGAATTGTGTTGTTTCTTAAACGATGTTGCTGAAGACTGCGTCGATTTGACATACAGAGTTTGCAGTGGAGAGAGAAACTCTGTGTTTGTTTGTGAGTGTGTCTGTGTGTAGATTACGACACGAGAATGAAGTCAGACGGGTTACAGCCCTTTGGCTGCTTGTGGCCGCTTATGACAGACAATTACCCGCTAAAGCGCTCTGCCTGCGCCGCCCGCCTCAGGTGGGTGGACTTCCTGTTAAATGAGCAATTTCTGCTGCCTTAGTTTGTCTGGAAAGAACCGCGTCACACCCAAATTCTCGCTCACCTGAAGGATGTGAAGTCAGACATTTCCCAGACCGCATCATGCATGGAAATTCATGGGAACACTTGTGAACACTAGTGCCAAGAACTCGTAGGTAGAAACGTCAAAGCGTTGCAGAAGATAACTTCTTACTACAAACGGGATCCTCAGAGAATCATATTTTCATAAACTGAGTCTGCATGTTTTGCTTTTTAATCAAATATCTAAATCAATCAGTGATGATAGTCCTAAGTCAAGTCTTACTGTTGTAAGTGACCCTCTCAGCCCTTTCTAGTGAAAGACGTCATCAATGTTTGTTGTAAATATTGGTATATATTGCCTTTCTCTGTACATAGTGCTCTCACAGTCCACGATTGTTCATATGAATCTAATGGCATATTTTTATAAGTATTCTTGTCTATTTTTTTCTCATTTGGCATGTGCCGTCTCATTTAAATTAAAACTATTCCAGTATTTTAAAAGAAGAGAAGAGAAGCCGCTCCGCGTCTGCGGATCCTGTAACAGTCGTCATGCTTCTTTCACACCGTTGTCCTATTTTGTCACTGTGGGTTTCTTTGTAATTAAACATTCACTGATGCCAGAATCCAGAGGCTCCGTTAATTCATTTACAAACACGCTCACACACGACCTCACCTGTCTTCGCAGTCAAATGAGTCACTGTCAGTGCCAGGAAGTTTATGAATTTGTTTTCAAAAATTGTGAGTTGGCACAAAATAAGACTTCAAACTTTTTTGAAAAGGTACATTTTGAAAGAAATGAAATGAGATGATGAAAATGTTGGGTGCCAGAGATGTGTCTGAATAAAATAAAAAAAAAGTGATATTAAATAACAATATAAATTTAGACTCGTACTATTTCTCTTGCAGTAACTTTTGGATATCACAGTTTTATGAAACATCACATTTTTAAAATCCGATAATTTTATACTGCGCTCTTTTGGCTTCTGTGTTTAGTTACATTGCTGCGAAAATCAATTTGAGATTCATCAAAAGCTAGGTGATGAGTCACACTTAATAGTTTTAATCACTGCTTTTATTAATCATTTCCTCCAGTATGCAATTAATAAGTGTAAAACATGATTTAAGTGTGAATCATCGCCTAGTTTAGGATTAAAATAACTTTCAAAAGCTTTTTTCTGTTGTCAATCTAAAATGCATGATTTGGTCACAACAGGCCCAAAGAATTGTAAGGAGGGTAAGACCAATTATGTGTTTAAAGGCTGCAGTTTTTGGTCATAAATACAGTAAAAACAGTAAATACATTTTGAAATATTATTGAAATTTAAAATAATTTTCTATTGTAATATATTTTAAAATATAATTTATTCCTGTGATCAAAGCTGAATTTTCAGCATCATTACTCCAGTCTTCAGTGTTACTTGATCTCTCAGAAATCATTATTATTACATTAATATGCTGACTCTGCTGATTATAAATGTTGAAAACAAACAGTATTTATTTGAAATAGAAATCTTTGTATAATTATAAATCACTATACTGTCACTTTGGATCAGTTTAATTCATATCCTTGCTGAATGAAAGAATTTATATAAAAAACAGTGCTTGTGTTGCTGGTGTGTCAGCATCTCATGGTTCTGAATGACCGTCGGACATTCATACAATCAAAATGAAACACACAAGACCAATTCACGTCATCTCACAGCGAACTAGTTGTTCAAGGGCACAAAGAAAGCTTTCTAATGTCATGCAATGAATGTTCATCGCCTGACCCTGCAGTTCATGGTTTGTGTGAGAGATCTGGTTTTATTCTGACGCGTGATTCAGTGCAGTTGGCATATAAGAAACCAAAGAATGCTGCAGCCTACATGAGCTCTGTCTCAGAGTAACCATGAACAGCTGAATATGCAAAAAAAAAAAAAAGTTTGAATAATCATGTGCATCCTGTACCAGTGAGGAAGGGGAACACAGTTAGGGCCATATAGACTGATTATAGAAGATTATGAAATTATGCCAAAAAGTTATATATATATATATATATATATAATTAGTATAATATATATTAGTATTATGTTGAAAAGATTCACTGTCTTTACCATCTTGTTTATTCAACAAAACAGGCAACAAAATATCTTTTGAATCATGCCATTGCTATTTAGATCTTTAATTGAATGCACACTTCATTGGATGGCTGCTTTTTAGTTTGTGTCACTTCAACCATCTGGTTTATTCAAATGAATTCAGAGTGAAATCACTAAAGTAACTATAATTTTCAGTGATGAATTTGCTTGTTTTAGCTGTAGGGTTCGTTGTTGAAGCGTACCTGGAATAACAAGAAATTAGTGTGAGATTGTGTTAAACTGCCCTGCAGCATGTGTTTATGCCGCATGAGTGCATTCCACGCATACAGCGCTGCATGGAGAAACAGAAACATGCAAAACTGAAAGAGTAGAACATATGTAGACACTATTTAGATGAAATAGAAGGTGAGATGTTTGCTTTTATATTTATCCCACATGTCACAGAGAGAGAGATTTTTCCCCTGTTTCTGCATTATTTTACTTTAGGTTATCATGCTAAATGAATGCCATTTCATTATCAACACCAGTGTCTTATAAAGTTCAACTAAAATTCTAGATGAGGTTGTTTATTCATCAGAAAATATTTAGAGAAATGTAGCATTAGAAGTGAATCCGCTGATTAAAAATACATTAATTGATGGACTGGAGTGGTGTGGATTTCTTGTGGATTATTGTGAAGTTTTTATCAGCTGTTTGGACTCTCATTCTGACGGCATCCATTCACTGCAGAGCATCCATTGGTGAGCAAGTGATGCAATGCTAAATGTCTCCAAATCTGTTCCCATAAAGAATCAAACTCATCTATATCTTGGATGGCCTGAGGGTATGTACATTTTCAGCAAATTTTAATTTTAGGGTTTCTTTAAAATGTCCTTTAAGTGTGAATAAAATTTAATTTTTTCGGGATTTGATACAGTTTTAAAGGGGTCATATGATGCGTTTTCAATGTTTCCTTTCTCTTTGGAGTGTTTCAAACTTGGTGCATAAAGAAGATCTGTAAAGTTGCAAAGACTAAAGTCTCAAATCCAAAGAGATATTCTTTATAAAAGTTCAGAGTCAGTCACGCCTACCTAAAACGGCTCGTTCTAACACGCCCCCACATGTCTACGTCACGATGTGGGAAGATTTGCATAAAGCCGCCCAAATGTTCGCGCAAAGAAAGAAGGCGTAACTTTTATTCTCGCTGTAGTATTGTTGCTGCCGCCGCCGCCATGTCGTGAAGGCACTGTGTGTGTCGTTGTGAAAGCGAAATTACTTTGTTTGGCCTTCCAAAAGAGGACGATACCGCTTCGACATCCTGGAGCTGATCCGTGCTGGTTGCTGAGGAAATACTACAACTTCGAGCTGTCGATCGCCGAATCGGCTTTCACCGTGGACGAAGCGGAGTCCAGCCCGCGGTCGTTACATGTGGTTGCTGCAGGCATCACAATATGGTAAGGGATGTAACATTTCCGTCACACGCTTGAGGAATTCGGCCAATCACAACGCACTGGATAGCTGGCTTAAACCGCATAAACACATTTCATTATACTAAATACACAAAATAACGTTCTTTTTAGCAACATCATATGACCCCTTTAAATTAATTTTTCTATTTTCCTTCTGTAGGCTGTAATATTACTTGACACTGTTTTGACAATGCAATGCGGTAAATCTTCACAGGAAT